TATTTTGGCAACATCCCTCCCATGGAGACCATAATCCATAGCTGTCACTTTGTGTACTGTTTAGTGGGTGATAAGCTTTATGAGCCACTGGCAGAATTTTATATCTTAAGAGTCCTGGCTTTTGAGGAGCAGCTTATCTCTGATGTTTTCTCTGTCAAGGTCAGGTGGTGCTTGGGGATGTTTGTGGTGCAGAAGCTTGGAATAAATATTGGGTGGTGATCATGTCTCAGGATGGACCATCTCGCTAATCGGCAATGTTGCAAGAGTGGGAAATGTTCCATGGATGAAATTGATCCTTCTTCACTTTGGCTTCCAAATCTCCCAATTCTGTCTGGTTTTCAACGTATTTTGAATGTCTGGAGAAACAAACACAGATGTTAGTAGCTGCGGTAGCTGCTGGACCAAAAAAAACAATTGGATAGCATTTTAGATTCTGAGCTGCCATGACCTCATTATAATCATCTTTCAAAAATATTGTTTTTAGATGGGAGGGGGGAAAGGGCTTCTAAATTGTTTTTGGTTACCAACCACAAAAGGGACTTTCATAATATCCTGGCATAGCAGTGCAGTGATGAGAAAGGAGTCTATTTCTCACAGTTATTTCTGAATGTGTCTCTCTACATATATCACTTTCCAGAGCTAACTCACATGAGGAATGAAAGCAAATACAAAATGCAGAATTATAATTCAATAGACATAAAAAAATCCAAATGGAAAGCTAGACCCGAAGAGTAGAGAAAAACAAGGAAATCAGATATTCTGTTATCGCATGAGACTGGCCTGGGAAATGAGAAGACAACCTTGTCACCTTCTCAGATGTTGCTCCAGACCTCCTGAGAACTTGGCTCTGACCTTTCCAAGCTTAGAGAGAAAGAGAGAGAGAAAATTTGTTGTGGCAGAGTTGTCCTCAAGCTGTCGTCAGAAAAGTCAGGAGAGTAACCAAGATGAAGCAATTGAAGCTTCATCACTTTTTATGTGCGTTGGTTGTGTGATGCACATAAAAAAAAATGGGTGGAACCTTGATCACACTCTTGTGAGCATCATCTTAACTTTCTCAACCTCATCCAGTGATGATACTTGTCCCAGGACAGTTTAACACACTTCATTTATCCCTCCCATTTAGGGTGGATTCTTGTATTTTCCTGGTAGTTGTTAAATAGAGCCACACTTCCTTTTCCTGCTGTACTTGTTGATGTATGTGTTAAATTTTCTTATTGCCGCTCTCAACTTTTCGCCCTAACCTTTTTTATTCTGTTGGCTTTCAACTTGTGCATGGCCTAGGAAAATAAAAGATAAAAAGAAACAGGACTGTTCTTCTTATTCCCCAATCTGGACAATTCCATATTTAGGTGTGAGGATTAGCTGCAGGCCACACCATCTGTTAGTAGGGGTCAAAAGAAGTAAGATGGCAGATTTGCCTCATAATTCACACCCTGCCCTCTTGACATATGTACAAAGGGTGGGGGAAGACTTGCATCATGGCACCACATTTGCCATACTGCATTTTTTTTTACCTCTGTGGGCATCAGTGGCTATGAGTGTTGGTATATGAGTCTTTGTACATATGAATGAATGAAATATCCCTGGTATTCAGGCTTGGTTTAGAGCAGGGATGTCAAACTCACGTTGTCATGGTGGCATCTCCTGATGTATCAGGACTTTTTTCCCCCTTCGCTAAACCATGCATGGGCATGGTCAGTGTGTGACACATCTGGCCCGCGGGCCGGGAGTTTGACAGCCCTGGTTTAGAGGAAGACATGATTGAATGCAGGGGTGGGATCCGACAGGGTTAACTACCGGTTCGGTGATTTACGATGTGCTTCCCTGCACGCTGCGCACAAGCCTGTAAATCGTCATCAGCATGCTGCGTGCAGAGAAGCAGCTTTTGAAAAAACCACTTTTTTCCTGCTTTTTTAACTGCAGCTGTGCCTCGCACAGCAGCTGAAGTTCAAAAAAATCAGGAAATAAAGATCAGGTAAGAGCCCGGGTGGGCGTGTGGGCAAAAACATCAGCAGACATAGAACCGGTTCTATATCTGCTGCTCTTCAGAGCTACCGGATCTACAGAGGTGGGCAGAACCGGTAGAAACCCACCCCTGATTGAATGGCCAGATCAGAAGTATATATAACAGGCCTGTGATAGAATGTAGTCTGGATTCCCAGGAGGGAGGGGCCATATTCCAGAGGAGAAAGAAGTTTGATTGGGAAAAAGAAGTTTAGGACAGCTCCTTGCTAAAAGTTCGCAGAGTATATCTTTACCTATGCAAGTAGTTGCTTTATGTATGGGCAAGATTTCTGTCTATAGTGAGGAACAATAAAAGAGACTGCTTAGAAGAAACTCAGCATGTCTTTCTTGGATTTTGGAGCCTGACATGACCAGCTAATGAGATGGTACATGGTTGAATCAGCAATTATCTTTAAATATATTTAATCCATTTTACTTAAGGGAATTGGCATGTTATCCTTAGTGTCCCTTTTTTAGATCCTGAAGAAAAAGAAAGATGATTTGCCATTAAGCAAGGAAAACCCAGTCTTCATTAAGAGAATATGCCACCATTCATATTAAATGTTGGATTTCTTCAGTTGCCAGAAGCAGAACAGTCATCAAAGAAACAGACTGTGAGCTTTATTCACAGCCTTGACAATTGAAAGGACCTCTCAAAATAAACCCAGACTGTTTTTGATTGATTTGACAACAATTTTTTTTTTAAATAAATTCCCCTCAAATAAGCGGACATCACAATAGACCAGTACATCTCTTTCCTTGCATTCTACATGGCTGATGTCCTTGAATGGCTTTGGATTTGCTAGACAGAAGGTGGCATTTGGTCAAGGGTGGGGAACAAGGATCCTTTATGACTTGTGGACTTCATCTCCCAGAATTCCTATGCTGGCTCAGGAATTCTGGGAGTTGAAGTCCACAAGTCATAAAAGGGCCATCGTTCCCCACCCCTGGGTTAAGTCATGGATAGAAGCAGAGAGAGAAACTGTGTACATGTTGTCACATGATCTTGGATTTTCCTTCTATTCATGTCTTCCTGTCTGCTGTTTTGAAGGCAGGAAAATTCCCCACTTGGAGAGACTATGCCCCTGTGACTCTAGACACACAGAAACAACATAGTGTGTGCTTCTTTGGTGCCTATACTATAGAGACATTCATACTAGCCTCATTTCACCAATACCATATAAATATTCAGGGTGCAACAAGTCAATTTTGTACCTCCCTGTTGCTTGCAGACACTAATCCTGCTACAACATACAGTCATGCCAGGTTTTATGCAGCAGTGATTAAAATCTGCCAGATGATGACCTTTGCCTCAAACCAGCCTTAATGAGTTTTTAATTTGCTTAGTTGAGAGTGTTTTGTATTATGATAGATTTAGTTAGCCATACATTAACTCTTATGGGGGTCTTTTTATATTTAACAGAATTAGAAGGGACCTTGGGAGTCTTCTAATCCAACACCCCTGGAATAGCAGGAGACCCTATTCCATTTCAGACAAATGACTGCCCAATATTTTCTTAAGAACCTCCAGTGTTGGAGCCACCATAACTTCTGAAGGCAAGCCATTCCACTGATTAATTATTCTCACTGTCAGGAAATTTGTCCTTAGTTTTAGGTTGGACCACTTCTTCATAAGTTTTCATCTGTTACTTCTTGTCCTGCCTTCAGATGCTTTGGAAAATAGGTTAACCTCCTCTTCTTTGTGACAGCCCCTTAAATATTGGAAGATTGCTATCATGTCACCCCAGTCATTAGCCATAGCATGTAGACTTATATACTGATTCACAGGGCTTTACAGCCCTCTTTAAGTGGTTTACAGAGTCAGCCTAAGGCTGAGTCAACCTTGAGTCTGGTGAAATTTGAACTGTCAAATTGCAGGCAGCCAGCGGGCAGCAGAAGTAGCCTGCAGTACTGCACTCTAACCACTGTGCCACCATGGCTGAGTTAGACTAGATATACCCAGTTCCTACAACCATTCTTCATATGTTTTGGCCTCCAGTCCCCTAATCGTCTTTGTTCTTCTCTGCACTCACTGCAACATCTTTTTATATTGTGGTGACCAAAACTGGATGCAGTATTCCAAATGTAGTCTTACCAAAGGATTATTCAGCAATACTACCACTTCACATAATCTAGATTCTTTCTCTTTGTTGATGAAACCTAAGACTCTCTTGTTTTGTTTTTTTTTGGCACCTGCAGCACACCGTTGGCTCATATTTCAGTGGTTGTCCACTTGGACTCCTAGATCTCTTTTTACAGTTTACTTATTTTTATTTATTTATTTACTTACTTAATATTTTTATCCCTTTTATCTTTTTAATATATATTTATTAATTTTTAAAAGGGTAAAAACCTTGTGCATTTTTTTTAATCGTTTTATATTTTATTTATTTTATTATTTTATAAATAGCAAGGAAACATACCTAGTTCTCCTTCCTCCTCCTATTTCCCTTACAAAAACAGCCCTGTGATAAAATTTGGCCCAATGTGACCCAACCGCCTTTCATGCCTAAGGAGGAAATACAATTCAGTGTCTCCTGGTGATGCCTGAAAAATCTGAGTTTTAGTCCCATTTTAGGCATAAAAGCCAGGTTGGATCAATCAATTTCTCTTAGCCGAACCCACCTGACAGGGTTGTTGTTGTGGGGAAAATTGGAGGTGGAAGGAATATAAGGTATTTTCATCACTTTGACTTATCGTACTTTAAAAAATTATAAGGAAGGAATGTAAATAAATAAAATTTTAACATGTGCACAAATCCATCTGCAGTATTCTTCTCTCCTGATTCTCTTGTTCAAGCATGTTAGGCTATGAGGAAAGAGATCTTTTCTGAGATTCTGTAGAAAAGTTTCTGGAGATATCAAAGGCTGATCTAATAGTTAGTGATCGGACTTGGTGAGCAACTTGGTTGTACATTCTGGTAGCTCTCCTGATGAAATGTTCCAAAGGAGGAAAGACTTATCTACTCACATCTCTGTCCTCTTCTTGATTCCCAGACAGCTGTTCCCCCGGGGCTTGCCTGATGAATTCACTTTGATCATCACTCTACTCTTGAAGAAGCAGACCACCAAAGAGAACTGGTATCTCTTCCAGATCACTGACCCTCAGGGATACCCCCAGGTATAACCATCTAACTTGGTCCAGTCTTTCCATTGCCTCTCTGATCTATTGTTTCCTGTTGTTTCCACCCTAGCTAACTCCAGTTAAACCCACTCCTTCCTTCCTTCCTTCCTTCCTTCCTTCCTTCCTTCCTTCCTTCCTTCCTTCCTTCCTTCCTTCCTTCCTTCCTTCC